TATATATATATATATATATATATATATATATATATATGGGATGTCTTGAATAGAGAGCTTTAGAGCTTCATTCATGCAGATGGGGCGACCTAGATCACATTTATAAATTTTATATGCATTTATTTGCTATCTAAACTAACTTGATTAGAGAGCTTAATATTAAAATATAACTTTTAAAACGTAGCCAAGGAGGCAAATGAGGAAAAAAAAATCCAATCTATCCTCATCGTTTTTCCTTCCTTCCCTCATTATACTTTTCTGACCACACGCTAAGATTTTAATAGGATGGAATTGTCTCTTAGTCTGCCATCAGGCAAGCTTGCCAAGCGAAGACAACTTCGACTCAAGCCAGAATTCAAGCGCGTGGGGTTTTTTTCCCGCCAATTCTTGCAAGGTGTAGTTTATAACATCAAGAATGATGTAAATGTGACAAGCCTTTTTTCAGGCTTGTTCTCGAAAGACAACAAGCCTGAAAAAGAAAGGGCCTCAAGAAGAAAGGGAATCGTCAGACCCGTTTTTTTTCTTTCACTTTTACGTTTAACATTCATGTAAATGGTTCTGAAAGCCCTCGTAAAGTATTATTTTGTTGTTGTTGCTAATTCCCATCTGGTCTGACGGGGTCAGACCAGATCAATGAATCCGTTGACATTCAGAAAATCCGAAACCAAAGTATTATTTTAAAATTGCTGAATGGTTTTAATTAAAAAATTGCCGTTTTTTTAGGTCATTCATTTTAAGAAATTGCCGAACATTTGCAAGTTAAAAGAATTTTTTTTTTTTTAATGAGATAGGATATATCCTCCTACATTGGGATGAGGTGAGTTCTTGGATTGGGTTGGGCAAATATTTATTTTATTTTACTTTTTGCTTTATTTTAAATTTTACTTTACACTCAATTTTATACTTTATTTTACTCTTTATGCTTCACATTTCGCTTTACACTTTACTTTTACTTACATTTTACGTGATACTACGCTTTACTTTACTCTTTACTTGAAAATAGTATAAATATTATGCTTTGCTTTGTACTTATTACCTGACGTTAACACTTTACTTCATCTTACCTTTTTTACGTTATTTTTTTACTTATTTTCTTAAAAATGTTTTAAATTACATTTAATTTTAACAACTTTTCTATCGAAAAGTTGTTAAAATTAAATGTAATTTAAAAGTTAAGGATAGGAAACAACAACATGGGTTACACAAATGAAGCTTATTCGTGGCGAGACACTGCTTAATGAATTGGAGATTATAAATTCCTTGAAATTGCAGGAAGATATCCGGAAGCGGAAGGAAGAAGAGGAGCGTCTCGCCAAGGAGGAAGAATTTCTCCGATCCTCCCTCAGAGGATCCCAGAAACTGCGAGCCCTCGAGAAAGTGAAATCCGGTCAGGAGAATTCTGGATTTCATTTGGAGGAAGGCGACATCCCACCACGGGAAAGGCTGGTGGCCGCCAATGCAGAACATCTCAACAGACTTTACGGTTTGTACTTCACTTCTTGCAGGGATTTTTCTCAGGGTTTTAGTTCTATTGGAGACGTTTTAAAAACTTGAATTTCTCGCTCACCTAATTTTTTTTTCTTTATTTATTTTTATTTTGTATGGAACTCCACCAAATAAATTAACCCAAATGAATTTTATTATTTTTTAGGATTTATAATGTTTATGCAATGACTTGCTTCCCCTCACCAATTTCTGCAAATGCTACGATATTTTTTTTCTGTATCTCGATAATAAATTGTTACATAAAAATTCTTAATTGAATATAATGGACTCATGTTTGAAAGACCCGAAATATTTTATTGCATGAACACAGAATTGGTTTCATAAATTTAATTGTCGATTTTACTCGGTTACTTCATGTACAATTTTGTTTATTTAAATTTATTTTTAATTGTCTACTTAAAGCTCTAGTTCACTGTTTTTCATACAAAATTTTAATTAACTATAGTGCGAAAAGTTTATTCTTAATTATGTTTTACAATTTTGTATTCTTTATTTTTATCATTGTATTTTATGTCCCAGTCTAATTAGAACAATTTTTTTCTGACTCCTGCGAAGTTTTTTAGACTACGATTCTACAGCACTGTATCTTTCTCCTGAATAGCGAATCGATATATGCAAAGGCCATAAAGATTTTAGTGTCAACACAACAGGAAATCGTTGATCTGAACTCGTAGAGAATATAGCCGCTATATTATTGGAAATCTTAAATTAAAGTCAGAGATACAAAAAATCACTCTTAATATACGGTCTTATAGTTTTAATTTATAAGAATGGCGTATTTCACTTAAAAACAATTATCGAAAACTATGATAAAAAAGTTATAATCGCTAAACGGTTTTTAATAGATTATCCGCTCGATTGCATCAAAATTTAAAACTATATTTCCTAGAAATATGTGTTTGCCACGAGTCAGATGTTTTTGGCGATAGTATTTCCTGTTCGCTTGATTTCATATTTTTCTTGCTTGTCTGCGATAAAACTACCATTATCTAAAACTGCTAAATAAACACTATAATTGCCTGCGTCATTTCATATTAAATAAGAAGTAAAAATTTGCGATTTTCATCACTGATTAGATTAGATTTCATCACTGATAAACGAGCTTAAAATTAGTATGACTTCTCTCACTTTTTAACAGCATTTAGCTTATATTGTTTTGACTGATTTTTCCCCTTTTTTTTATTTTTATTTTTCTAAACTGAAAATAACATGATAAATAAGAGTTGTGGAGTTGGTAGTTGTACTATTATACTAGTTGCCGACTAAAACTCTATTAAAATGTCCACCAAATCTCAAGAAAATATTAAGTAATTGTTAGTTTCAAATAATGTATTTTTGTGTGTATTTTGTGTACTATTCAAGTAAAAAGTATTTTGTTAAAATTTATATTTTGTATTATAACATACATAAGTTGTACAAATAATATATTTCAATTTCTTCACGATACTGAAATTGTGCAAAATGAGAGAATAACTACTTATTTACTATAATTTACTCAGATTTTTTTTTAAAATTATCAGCTGAATAAATTTGGTTTTTGAAATTTATTAATTAAAAGCTAACTTAATAATAATTCATTTATTAACATCGATTTTTCAATAGTTTCGATAAGGGCTGTGGAGTGAGTCGAAATTTTTTTTGCAGGAATCTGTGTCAATTTGCAAAACTCCGAAACCCGTTTGTTAAAAGTTGTAAATCCTTAACGGTATATTAATCCTTTGTTATAAAAAGGAGTTTTCGATGTTATGTATATGATTTAGACAAATATGCTACTTAAATTGATCAATCTTAGTGATACTGATAAGTAATCATTTGAATTCAGTGATATTTTTGTCTTCATAGTTATAAATATTTATCTAAATAATTTTTATGAGATCAAAAAAAATATTTCCTCTTTTACCAGACTCCTGCAAAATTTTCCCTGTGATACAAACCTGAGAAAGGCATTCATTTTATTTCATGAATGTCGACAACAAGTGCGATGAAACAAGATCCTTTGCAGCTGCTGCATTTTATTGCCTTGACACGTGATCTATCCCTGCTTACACAAAACATTCATCTTCGATTGACTTCTCTCTCAATTAACCCTTTTGTCAGGCCTCCCTTAAAGGAGGGTGGTGCCCCAAAAGAAATATCGAATTCAGTGTTGACGTCGATAGTAATCCGATCGCAACATAGCTGATTTTGGGCGTAAGGAATGAATTATTAACTTTCGTGTGAAAACAAAGCCAATATTAGGAAAGAAAAATAATGCGGATCTCTCTTTTTTTTTTTCTTTTTTGAAGAAAATTTTTAAATTATGTTTCCGAATTTTTCTTGTTTCTTTACTTGACATGTGATCAGTAACATCTTATAAATATGTGTAAGTAGTTTTGATTTAAAAATTTTATCATTTGATTACTTACTATTTTACTACCTGCGCATTAGTTTTTTCAATTACATTTTTAATTATTACAGATTATTTTTTTGATATTTTTAGATTACTTTTTATTCGTATTTATTAGTTTTTCTTTTACATAAGACATTTTTGCAGATTTTTTAATTGTTTTTAGATTATTTTTTATTTTTCAAACATTAGTTTTTTTAATTTCATATTTAATTATTGCAGATTACAATTAAATAAAGTTGATAATTTTAATGAAATTACTGGGGTAAAATTTCAAAGCATATATGCATGCTGTATCTTGAATGATGTTTAATGTTAAGTGATGTTTCTTGTTATGTTGCAAGATAAAACAAAAAATTTGTGCTAAGATGTTAAGTTTATTTAATCACTTTAATATGTATGTTCAATTTAGTTAATTCATGTACTCAAATGTAAGCAACTTAGTTATCTCAATAACTAAATTTCTTGCTTAACTGAAATTTCTGGACATTTTTTTTTCTTTTAATATTTATTTTCTACACTATCTATCAATTTGAATGGTAAAAATTATTTTTCCATATCTAATTATTTTAATCCTATTATTGTGTGGTTTTATTAGGACAGAATTCTTCATCCATTTAATGATACAATTATTGATTTTTCCTCCCTCAGAACCCTCTGAGCTTCTGGAGATGCTTCACAATGTAGAATCTGTACTCTCAAAAACAGGATTTAGTGAGGGGGTGATTGAACTGGAGAAACTTTTCCACAATGCAGAATTTGAGTCTTTGTTGAATTTGCACAATAAAATTCAAGAGACATCTTGTTTCAGTTGCCTCCCTAATCCAGTCTCTTCAGATGCTCAACTGATCTCACTAGAAGTAAAGCCTACTGTTCTTTTAAAACTATTTTTTTCTTTCAAATTTAAATAAAATTGTATTGATTTGTATCTGTTATAGAAATGCCACGCTCTCTTTAATTCAAATTTGTTGTAAATGTCTTTCTCTCTTTTTGTTCAAAGTATGATTTCTAATAACATTTTTAACAAAGTGTCACAAATTGCTTAAAAGTAGCATTTATTGTTTTGTGTATTTGAAAATACAGGGTGTCCAAAAATTATGCACACTGTAAAATATTTCAAGAATCATTCAGATCAAAACTATAAATTTACTCATTTTTATTTCTTCCAAAAATGCATTCAATGAAACCACCCCTTCTCCCATTCTTGGGTTTGATCTTAGGTTCAAAATATGGTATGTTGTCATTAGATTGGTTATTAAAACATCTATCCTATAAAAAAAAATTTCATCTCTACATTTTTTGAACTCTCCATACCTGATTTTTTAAATTTTTTTTATATATTTCTGATCTAAATTAATCTGCCTTGGATTTGTTAAGTAATAAATCTTATTTCTTTACAATTCATGTAGGTGTTGAGCTTTAATAATAACCATGATTTTATTTATTTAGTTTTGAGTTCAGTTTTTAGACAATAATTTTAACTATATTATTTACTAATGTGAAATACTTTTTTAGAATATTGTTTTAAAATGATATTAAGTGTTAATACATTGCGTAAAAACTTTTGACAAAGATTGGAAAATTTAGAAAGAATTTTTAAAAAATTCTTTTTTTATTTTATTAAAAAAATCATAATTTTTACCAAACCTATTAAGAATCTTAACGCTTAAATAGTATTTCAGTAAACCTTTCTTATTTAATAGAAATATTAACAACAACAAAAAAATGCCGTTTTCATATTTTTATGCAATTTTTTAACTATAACAAGTATTTAATTAATTTAGTGCAACATTCAATAAAAGAGCATTTTTTTTTTTGTTTGTGCTGAAATTACAAAGTTTTTGAAAGATACATTTTTAATAGCATTTTTCAATAAGTTTCGATATTTAAAACATTTTATAAAAAAATTCTTATATTTAATTGAATATTCAATTAAAAGATGCTCTATATATTTCTATGCAATGAAATTTTATAATTGTGAAAAAAAGAAATTTAAATAGTATTTTGATGATTTTTTTATATTTACTAGATTATTCTATCAAAACATTTAGAGGCAATTTTTATAGGCATTGTAAATACAGTTTGAAAAGTAATAGTTTATGAATTAGTGATTCTCATATATAACACAACCTTCATTTAACTTTTAAGTTAATTATTAGATTTATGCTTCTGAAGTTTTGGAAGATGTTCTTGTGAGCTTGTTAACAAATGTCATTAGTCTAATAGATTTAAAATTATTTTTAAAAACTATGAATTTAAAAAATTGTTTAATTTCATCTATAAATTAGTACAAAAAATGTGATAGTGACAAAATAAAATTATAAAACCAAAAATAAGAAAGAAAAAGATATGAAGCTTTTAATATGCTATTGAATTTTCTAATTTTATATGTTTTAATAGAAAGGTTTATGAAAGTGTATTATGGTATGAAAATAAATGCTTTTGAAAATACTCTAAATACTTATCCAAATTTTGTATAATTTTATGAAAAGGAAATTGTTTAATTTTAACAAAACACTGAAATGTTTTTAATTAATTTATTAAAATTGTAATAAGTTATTCACTTTACTAATGTTTAGTTAAGCAATGTTTTTTTCTTCTTTTTTTTTCGAAAAATGTTTTGTCAAAACACTTTAAAAGAGTGTAAAATTAAGAGTTTGACATTAACTACTTTTCTAATGTTAAATCTTACAAAGTTATTTTTTATATATTCTTTATATTATTTTGTACAAGTTATTACCTTGTATTTGTATATTCATCTTTCATTTCAGTCAATTGAATTTTCTCAAAGCATCAAAATAAATGCAATGATTTCTTATTTCTTTGATTATTTTTCTCAAACTTGGCAGTATATCTCATTGTATCTAAAAGTTATAAACTGTACAAACTTATGTATATAGTGAATAAATTTGAAAGAAAAAGAATTTTTTTTTTTTAAATTAGAAGTATTTTTCTTTAATATTTCCTTACCTAAGATGTTGCTTTTGACCCCTAAAGTAAAGCCTTTTTTTATATTAAGAATTCAAGCATTTTTTTTCTGACATATTTTTATTTTGGATAACTGCAGGGTTGCCACAGACTACTAAAATGCGACTATTTGCTACTATTTTCCGCCTTAGGCAACTATGGAGACTTTTTTTGCCTGAAAAGGCTAAAAAAGCAACTATATTCAGGAATAGGCGACTATTGGTAGACTTTTTTACTCTTAGCGAAGTTATTTTTATACTTATACTTATTTTTCGTAGACCTACTGTTACTTTGCGATTGCTGCACAATCGCTGTTATCGTAAACTTTCGTTCTGAACTCAATAAATCAATGAAAAGGAAATATAAATTAAAAAAGTTTCCTCATTTGTCTTTTTCAATTATTATTTTTCATTTTAAGCGATACAATTTAATAGGGGTATTTTGTACTTAATTTTGTTATAAAAAGTTAGTTTTTTTTCAAATTTATTTAATGTAGGTAAGTATAATAATTTGATTATTTTTAAACCAATAAATGTTCAGTTGTTTTTATTTATAAAAAAAATTGAAATAATGCTTACCTTTATTTAATTTGCTTTTATTTTTGAGAAACTGAAAACAAAGTTTTAAAAAAATTTGGCTATTAGTTAAAAAACAAAAAAATTTTTAAAAATTAAATAAAGAGTTTAGTAATATTTGGACATTTTTAATAATTTAACATTAGTACTTAAAGTATTTTTTTAAAAATTTTGTTAAAATTCTTTCAATACTTGTTTGTTTTATAATTTGTTAGATAGTCACTGTGATTTTTAAAGAAATAAATTTTTAGTCAATTCTATTTTCAAAAACGAAAATAATAAATCGGTAAAAATATTTTTGCATTTATTCAGTACAGAATTTGACCATTAGTTAATACTACTTTATATTTTAAATAATTGAATAAAAGAGGGTCTAATGATGTTTCAAAAGCATGGTTTTTTTTCCAACAAATAATTTTAAAAAAATAATTTTTTTTCTAAAGTGAACATTTCTTTGGTTTGTTTTCTACTTTCGTTTTTTTTCTTTTAATTATAATGCACATATGTAAAATATTTTGTTACTGTATTATTATTTTTAAACCAATAAATCTTAAATCATTTTTAATTTAAGAAAAATTAAATAAATCTTGGGTTTGCTTTTACTTTGACCTTATTATTTTAATTGAAAAAATTAAGCAATGATATTGATATTATAGTAGAATATGTTTAGAATTAATATTTTCTTTTGTAATAGATTTATTCCTTTTCATTTATTTTTGATTGATTTCCCATAGGTAATTTCTGAACATATGCTAAATCGCGATGTCTAATGGACGATGTATTACGATTTAAAATTTCTGACATCAACCAGTCCTTATCATAGTATTTGACAATTAAGCTACAATTTTAATTATTTGGCTACTATTTTTGATAAATTTTTGCTCCTGTTCAGGCAACTATTTTCATAGTTTTAGGCAACTATTTTCATGCTTGAGGCTACTAAAAGCAACTTTTTTTTGTTGTGGCAATCCTGTAACTGTAATCCTGGCAGACTTTAAGAGGTTGTGTTTTGCAGGTGATGAGAGCATTGCAAGAAGTTCCTTCTAAAGATGCCAAAGAGCTTATGCATATCCTAGGAAAGCATCCTTTTGAGAACTTGATGTTCTGCCACGATAAAGTTGCCTTGAGTCAGGCCACTCCCGATATCTCTGAGGAGGAGGAACTGCTTTCCAGGCTCTCTCAGTACACGGAAGAGAGCATCAAGATAGTACGCATTGACAAAACTACTGAACCATTGGTGAGGCATCATTTGTCTCTTTCATACCCTTAAAAATAGTATTTTTTAATTATAATTAGCAGGGGTATTGTTAAGCGTGATGCACCTCTCTTTCCGCTTGAATTCCTGAACGTAAATCAATGTTTTTGATGATGAACCATGATTTCTTAAAAATGCTAATAAAACCATGTCATGTCCATACAAAGCAATATGTTATTAAATTTCAATTGCTTGTTTTGTTACTGTTTTAATAAATAAATTAGAAAAATCTACCTCTTTATGAATACAATCCTGAACATACTAGTAATGAATCCATATGTTCAAAAACGTTTATTGTAAAATATTATTATTACAGGTATAAATTAAGAACATTTCGTCGCTGCTCCCTTAGACCCGAGACTAAAAGATTTCCATGTACACCCTTCACTGATTTGCTCACATGTCACCAGAGGTGCCTATAAGATTTATTCGTAATTTTATAATCAAAATTACTGTTGAGTAATAAAAATTTCAATTTTTGAGAATTCATTCAATAATCTGAAGCTTTTTTCTGTAACTGCCAAGAGTTTTAAAATTTTGTGTTTGCAACTAACCCACAATCCTTTTTTTTTCTATGTCATAAGCAATTTGAAAAATAATAAATAAATAACAAATACAATTTAATAAAAACTAGAAATTAAAAAGACAAAATCTCACCTTACCCTCTTCCAACAAACTATTCCAAAACTGACTCCTTATCAAAAAGTAAACCTATACTCAAATCAAAAATATCATGAGCAAAATTTTTTAATAGTTCAAATGCATTATGATAAAAAGACAATAAGGGCTAGTTCTAGTTTAACTAAAGGATAAACATCAATTTACAGTTATCGAAATTTAATTTTATCATTTTAAGATGAAATAAAAATTTCATTGTATAATTTTTAATTTTTCACCCTTATCTAAGTGCTATTTTTTTATTTAATAGCTAGTTCATGTATAGTTTTATAAAATTATATAACTATATAGAATTGTGTAGATTAAAGTAATATTAAGTTGAATTTGATAACTTTGTATTTTTGTGTTTTTGTACTTCTGATTACTAATAGCTAGTATGCAAAGTTGGCACCTCTGTGTTTCTTTTGGATTTTTAAAAAAATTATGAAATAAAAAAAGGACACAAAAGTATTCAAATTTAGTCTTTTGTATATTGATTTTCAAAATCCAATAAAAAGTATTTTAAATTTAGCTTTTTGAATATTAATTTTAAAAATCAAAAAAAAAAAAATTTCTCATAACAAATAATTCTTTAGTTTGTTTCTTTTTAATCTACAAATGAATTTTACATTTTAAACTGTTAAAATAATTACATTTTAACTATTAAATTTTTTCAATTCAGAAAATTTTCTCAGTTTGTTTTAGATAAATAGGGACTTTTTATTGGGGTGCTTTTAGAGTATTTTCTTTGTTTGCATTAGACATATTTTCTAGCTCCATTTGTATATGCTATGAGTTTGTCTAAGAATGGTCTTATTTATAGCCTTAAGCAACTGAAACAAACTGCGATCAAACTAGTGATTTCCGCTCTATTTTTTTCTTCTAAGAAAATGCCTATTTCCTGATTCAACTCAAACATTTTGAACATGTTCTTTTTCCACATGGCAGCATGATAGCTGCACTTGCGAAATCTAAGTCCGATAGAGCTATTTCTGACCAATCACATAGCAGATACTCTCTGTTTAACCTCTGGCGGGGTTGAGGAGAAATGAGGGAGATAGGAAGATAAATACTTGGTTACATGTTACTAACAGTCTGTGATAATTATATATAAATAATACGCTGATTCAACAATAGTATACTAACTTTAATTGAAGAGATGCACATGTTTCATATTTCTTATTTGCATTTATAAAGTAATTTTGAGACTGAAAACTGATTTGATCTGCATCAGTAGTAGCTTTTAATTAATTTTTTTCATTTATTACTGATAAAAACAAATTGATAATATTTGATTAATTATCAATTATTTACAAAGTAATAGCAATTATCTCATTGCAGTTCTTGATACAATGTTTTCTGATCTGGTTAGATGGATGTGTTTTTCAGTGCATAATTATTTTGAAATTGTAAATAAGATTGGAAATTGCAGATTATTATCTAAGACGAATGTAAAAAATATTTTTATAAATCATATTTTAAAATCTGTAATCGTAAGAGTTTAAAACGTTTAATAAGGAGAACCTTAAAAATGAAAATTATTCTTGGTTGTATCCAGAATTATTTTAAAAAAATATTGTTATTGCTTGGAAATATTTAAAGAGTGTATATGGTATTTCAGGTAATTACAGACACAAAAATTTAATATAAGATCGAAACTAGATCAGGCGCCAATTCGAAAGTCACAGTAAAAAATTCTTCCCTAGCCCATAGTTGTGTGTATGAATAATTTAAATGTGCATATGAATAAACTACAGCACATGTGACCTGCAGAATGGCAATCTTTTAAGTTAGATAGTGATCTGATGTTACAGTTTAATTAGGAAACCGGTCACTCTCAAATAGAGATCGAACAGAAGGTATAGAAGAAGCTTGTTTCAGTTGCACAAGGGCATTTTATGTTTTATACTGTAATCGACCCAGAAAATTTTAAACATTTGAATTTAGACTGTTTGCCAGGTTTTAAAATTGAGAAAGTATTTCTTTTACGTTATTTATATCGGCTTCAAAGTATTCCAATTCAAAGGAATTATTTTATAGGTGTCCTTACAAAGATTTCAGTAGTCTTGAGGAATCCACTTGTAAATTTATCCCGTGACTGAAAGCTGAGAGAGTTTCTAAATTATTGTTTATGACAATTTACATAATACTAATTATATTTATGGCAAATTTAAAAGGCTGTCTGGTTTTAGCCACCTGAAACGCCAGGTCAAAAAAAAATTTGAACCCATAAATATTCTGGCAGCAAAATTTTAAAAATATGGATAATTTTTACTTGTTTAAACAATTTTTTTTATTATCAAATATCATCTAAAAAAAATCACCTAATGATTTCAATTGAAACTAGAATAATTTCTATTTTATATAATAGAATATCATTATCTTTACATTATTTAATCATAATGTAAAGTAATGTAACTCTTAAATGAAATAATCTCTAATTTGTAAACTGCTTAGATATAGTAATACACTATTTATTCGTTTCGAGGGACCAACGTAAATTGACTATTAAATGACTGAAATGACATGTAACTGAAAATAAAACAAATTAATAGAAGTTCATCATCGATGTAAAAATATTAAGTTTGATAACTTAGTAGCATTATTGATTTTGCTCTTAATATTTTTGAATATGGAAAACAGTAAAGAATTTTTGCAAGCTTCCTCCTGATTTCTATTATAGACAATTTTTAAAGTTGAAACTGGCATATTCAATTTTTTGTGTCTTCCACTCTTGTCAGTCCTGCATTCTTTCAGAATTTGAGTTTTATCTTTCAAAGAAATAACTTTGCATTTTCAAGACAGTTTTTTCTATCTCTCAGGATATCACAAGTTAAGGAATGAACTAGAACTGCAATAAAACAATGTATGAATGAATATAGCACTTTACTATATTTGTTATTTTAACTTAAGCAAATGAGAATTCCTTTATAGCAAATGTATATTAGTTTTAGGAACGACCTATTAATTCAAATCTGCTAATCTATTACACACTGCAAAGCTGAAACATGTATTTTTTAATTTTATCTGTATTATTCTGCTGAACAGGGTGCTACAGTAAAAAATGATGGTGAAGCAGTTATTGTTGGCCGCATAGTAAAAGGTGGAATTGCAGAGAAAAGTGGTAAGAAACCACCATTTATTTTCTCATTTGTTATGATCAAAATATATTTATCATAATGGTAGATTATCATTTTTCAAAAAATTTTAATCTTTTCATTTCTGCCAATTGCTTCAATGGTCACCCTCTACCAAGTAATATATATATATATTTGTGCTAAAATGCCTTCTGCCGTTTAACTTGTATCATTTACAAAATTATTTAAAAGAAAAATCCTTGCTGAGATGTGCTAAAAGGTGGCAAATGCATATCATTAGCATTTTGGATTATTTAAATTATGTCACTAAACAAAAGTTTTTTTTTTTCATGAATCGAAATTTTTAAAATTTTGTTATTTACATTGTAGAAAAAGATAGCCTAAAAATAAGGCATTCAAAATATTTTTGTTTTTTGGAAAAAAATGACTTTAAGCCATATTTAACTTTTAAGAGCAATTTTTAAACTCTTTATTTTTATTATTGAACACTTTTTTTCGACTTATTTTAAACATATCAAAAAAAAAAAATTTTTTTTTAATTTTATTTATCTATGCATATAAAAATTTTACTAGGCATCTATAGTACAATCATCATTAATTATTTCAAATATTTGAACATTCTTACATCTTTTTTTTTCTTCATAAAGTCTGTCTCTATTTGAAACCAAGTGAGTGTAATTATTAACCCATCATAACCTGAAATGAAATGTACTAAATATTGATTCCTCAATCTCATATTATGTAAGAATAGTCCTAAGTTTTCCTAATAGTGTTCTCACTGATTTGAAGAAGAGCTAGAACAAAAGTTCATTCTAAAAGAATTTTTATTTATAATTAATGTTACGGACGGGGAGTGTCGATGAAGCTTCAAAGCAGTCTAGAGAGTGTTTCGAAGGTTTGTTAATTCGATTTGGTGTTCTAGCTGTGCGAGTTTAATTTTTCTAATTCTATCTTAGCACTTTTGTTATCTTCACGGGCTTTTCGTTCTTCGACGGTTGATGCAACTAGATTTTTAACGAAATCTATGTTCTCTTTGAATACATCACTTGATTCAATTAAGCCTTTTAGAGTAATTAACGCAGCGTTTTCCTGTACAGTTATTCCTAATTCAAATGCGATCTGTAGTAGATCTTCTTTTCTCGTATTTTTATACATGTTTAGTAATAAAGTTGCTCCTACCTGTATTTCTTGAAATTGAAAGTAAATAGTTAATTTTATCCTTTTCGTGATGATTCCAAATATTTTTTCAACGGTGTTGATTTGAAGGAACGGCGGGTTTTTTGTTTTTTTTTGCTGTTGATGATCAATGGCGGCAGTTTCGTTTTGCCGGCATAGCTGTAGGAGGATTCTTGTTTCGTTTTAAACTGATGATGTTGACTTCAGCTTAATTGAGACAGGTGTGGCGGAGCCCCCATGTTACGGATGGGGAGTGTCGATGAAGCTTCAAAGCAGTCTAGGGTTGCGTTTTAAAGCTTTTATTATGACAAAAAACACTTAAAAGACAATAGAAAATAATTCGAGCTGGAACATCTTAATGAGCTTGCTCCCCGTAGCCGTTCATTAAGTGAATGTAGAGAGAGTCTGCTCAACTACAGGTGGCTCTGCATGGCGTATGTAACATGCAACATTAATGATATTGTGAAATGATATTGATTTTTATTGTAACTAATGATATTGATTTTTTTCCCTGTATTCCATAAAATAAAGTAACTTGAAATTTCTATTAATATTAAACGACACCCTTTTAGCTACTAATGTTTTATTCCCTGTCTGTTAGTTCCTTTTCTTGTAAATAATTAGAGTTGTTGTATTAATTATAAAAATTTGAAATGTTTTTTTTTCTTTAATGGTAGGCTTACTTCATGAAGGAGATGAAATTTTAGAAGTGAATGGCCTTGAATTGCGAGGGAAATCAGTCAACGATGTTTGTGATATTATGGTAAGGTGGACTCTTTTTTATTTTTTTAATAATTTGTTCTAACTTGTAATTCTGATTATAATTTGTATGCCTGATTATAATTTGTAATCAATTTTATTATCAGGCATAGTTATTAACAATCAGTTCTGTCAAACATTGTCTCATTTGAACAATTTATTCATTGCATTTAAATTTGAATGGTTAAACACAACAATAAGTATGTATTTCTGTTTCCTTTGATTTATTTTTTGTTTTTTGTCATTTCTTAAACAGCATAAAAGAAAGTTGAAATAAAGTGTTTTTTTAGAAGCAAAATTGTCTCTGCATTTGATTGATATATTAAGCATTTGGCATGATACATGCTAGTTGATGTATTAAACATCTATATTGAATATAATAATCCAAAGATCTTAGAGCAGTAAATTTTTTCCTCTCTTACTTCTGTACTTATACAATCTCTGGTGTAATAGCCAAATTGCTTAGTGTTTTGGGTGTACTTTATGTAATAGAAATTATTTCAATGACATCAATTCTTTTACTACTGTAATGCTACCTGACCAATCTCTGCAGAAGTATAATAATTATTTGTACTTTTTTGGATAAAATAACTGTGTGAAAAAGCAGAAATATCAATTTAACATATATTTATCTGATTTTTCTTTTTTTTAATTATTTCAGGCTGCTATGACTGGGACATTGACATTCCTAATTGTACCCAATCAGTACAATACTCCTAAGCATCAGACTCGAGAAAGTGTTGTAAGTGAACATAAAACATTTGGGACAATATAATTATAAGCCACATTTTCAATGTGTTCAGGCGTGTCCATAAGGCCTATAAAATGCTTATGTGTCTAATGATCGGGTGAAAATTCTAGAAGCTAGAGACGAGTAACTATCTGAAAACAGTACTAATGATCAGGGTTGGCAAGGTTTAGGACAGAATGGATTAATCCTAGGTTTAAACCGTCCTGTCCAAAACCCCTTTGTCCAAAACTGTCTTAAACTGTCCGAAACCCTTTTACTCAAATTATGTCACAATTTTATCTGAACAATATTTAAGAGGTAAAATAAACATAGAACTAATAACATATTGATAATTAAATGTATTAGAGAATATTTGTTTTTAAAAGTATAATGTTTTATAAATATTGTTTGACTCTTCAATTCAAGTTTGACAATTCAATTAATCAGTAATCAAGTTCAATTAGTCCTCTCATTCAATAGTACATAACTGAAGTTTGGCCTTGCCATACAGGTTAAAATATTGGGGACTCAGTGCTTGGTTTGTCATAAACAGGTTTATTTATCTATAGTACTATTCAAGAATACTGTTATATCATTCATGTTCAATTCTTTTAGCATAGTGGTGATACATCACCATTGTCAGTAACTGAAACTGATGTTATGCCCTTCAAAACTGTTAATACATTTTTCAGTTATTTTGTATTTTCAATTTAAACTAATATATTTATATTTAAAAACAATTTTTTTTAAAAATAGATGTCTTTTTTATCATCCTGTGATGCAGAAATTATAACATTTTTTTAAAAAAATATTGTGAAAAATAAAAGGTTAATTTTTGAACAAATTTAGTATTTTTTTTAAGAAAAATTATTATTTTTTAATATTGCCATATTTATCCTTATGCAAAAATATTATTTATCAGTATTAAAAGCATATTTATATTTAAAGGATTAGGTATTCACTTTTGTTGTTCAATGAATTGTGGAGCTTCAAAAATTATAAACCTTTTCCTATTATATTATATTATTTTCTTTTAATAAGTTATAGTAAATTGTATAAAAAATATCAAATATTTATTGATACATGTAATTATTATGTGTACAATGGTTACACCTATAGAATTTTTACCTTTTTCCAAAGTTCAAGGTTTTGGACAGTTTTACCCAGTTTAAGACTGTAAAACCGACGTGTCCTGTCCAAAACCAGTTTAGGACGTCCAAAACTCCAACCCTGCTAATGATTAATGGATGTAAATATGTCATTTTAAGGTGGTCACAGAGCAGGGAATTTTTTCCATCTGAAAATGTCATGGGATTTATCCAAAGTACCTAAAAATGAATAATCTTGAGTTCAAGGTCTCATATTGATTTTGTTTTAATTTTTTAAATAGAATTTGTTTATTTTCAACTCAAAGGACATATATAAATATTTTGTAATACCTACTATGTACAAGAATTGTGGAGATGAAGGAAATTTAAATTCTTCCTAGAAAATCAGAGAATACTTTTTCTGAGTATTTAGGCTACCTGAATATGGCTTATCATTATATTTCTCTTTTCATATACAAGATTGTCCTGTCCCATTATATTTGGTACAACAGCTGCTTTCATAGAATATATCTTCTGTTTCAGATTCATTTGAAAGCCCACTTTGACTACGAGCCAGACGATGACCTGTACGTACCGTGTCGAGAGCTGGGGATGTCATTCCAAAAAGGGGATGTCTTGCACGTCATCAGCCAAGAGGATCCCAACTGGTGGCAGGCTTACCGGGAAGGGGAAGAGGATCAGTTACTTGCTGGCCTCATACCCAGCAAGAGCTTTCAACAGCAGTATGTTACCCTCCCTGCTTATGTGTTTTTACTTTATTAATAAACTGAGTGTACAGTTTATTTATTTTGAATTGCACTTTATCAAATAATCCTTCTCTATTTAGTGTTTCTCTATTCTATTTCAACTTTGTCTTTTGCCATTTGTACACAGTGTGCAAATATATATACAGGGGTGCCACTCTAAAAAAATCACAGGACTGAAAGTTTTATATATTTTAACGGTGTAGCGCAATGTGAACAAATATCCCTCTTGAACATTTTAATTAGTACAATATCAATAATATTTGCATTATTAATCTTAAAAACAACACATAACATTAATTCAGAACAGAAATAAAATAACAATAAATTAAAAATTTAATGTGATTTTAAAGATTGAGAAGTAGTTTTAATTTTCNACCTGAAATTATCAGGGAATTTTTTTATACTGGAAAAGTCAGGGAAATTTTGTCTAAAACCTGGAAAAATCAGGGAATTTCAAAGAAAAGCTGGAATTTTTCTCTTAATTTATATATTTTTTTTCCATCCGTTATATCCACTTTTATTTAGACGTAAATTTATTGTAAAAACGTTGAAATATCATCAACTCAGCAATACTTTTCTTGCATTAAAATTCGCTTCATACCCTGCTAAACTAGAATGCCATTTAAACTCTTTTATGTTGGGAAATGAATGGAGAAATCTTTGACCTCTTTGGAGATTATAAGACTATGCAGTTAAAGAAAGGCGAAAATGTGGAAGAAAGGATTGGAATATTTTCTTCTGTTTTTAAAAGTAGTTTTTTTTTTTTTTTAAAATCTTCTTTTAGTCTGTGGGCTGAATTTATTAATTGTTCATGTTTCTTCCAATACGTTGGGGGTATTTTTTTATTTTAACAAAATTATTATTTTACAAAATTATGGTTATAATTTAATTACAGATTTTATCTTGCACTCTTTTTCTGAAAACTTTTGTCCAATGAATTATTTTTTTCTGCAAATGTTCAGCAAAGCCAACCAATCGCTAATAGCGAAACTGTTACAATTGTTGCTGATTTTCTGGATTTCATGATAACTTTTATTTTGATATTTCCGAAATTGTTCCTCCTTTTGCCCTAAAAAGCTGGCAAAAACCAAGGAATGTATGGAAAACATGTTAAATGATACGTAAACTTAGAATAGAATTTTTTTTATTTATATTTGTTTAGTTGAACAGAACTTTTTTTTTGTTCCGTACTGTACAGGGACAGGTTTCACATTGGGCAACCAGATGACCAAAATTTTAAACTTAATATTAAGTAAACTAAGTATCATTTCCAAGGTAAAAAAATTGAAGATTTAGAAATAATGATTTTTAGCTTATAAATATCAGTTTAATTTTATGCATGCAATAAATAATGCTATTATTATCATTTTTCTTGCGCCCAGTAAAATCAATTTATCCCCCCAAAAATTGTTATAGGCTAATAATACAGTAAAAAAAAAAAAAAAAAATTCTTCCTTTTGATGTACAGTGACTATTTTTTTTTTCAATAGAATTCATTTTTTCCCATAATTTAAAAAAAAATTTATTTCTTGATTTTTAAAATGATTAAATTTTAAAAAATATTGCTTAAATATGAGTTTTATTTATATTGTTAATACATTACATTGCTGTTAATATATTACATTGTTATTATACGTTGCATAGTTAAAATGAGTTATTTTTCAACTAACTTTTATAAGATGGAAAATTTTATAAAACATATTAATCTGACCATTCCAACAGGAAATAGAAGACAATTTAAATATAAAGAAGCTGTTTAATTAAAAAATAATATTTATAGCATTAAGATTAAAATTAAAGTAATTTTCAGTCATTATAATGGTTATCATTAATTTAAATTTCAATCTAATTTGAAAAATTTACCTCTGACACTGAAGTAAAAAATTTCAAATTAATTATGTATCATATTTCACAAACAACTGCATACAATTTTTTATTCAAATGTCATCTTCAAAATACAGTCAAGTTTATATTTAAATTACAAATTCACAGAGTTTAGGCAATTTGTAAATTAGTAATAATTTTTTGCTTTCGCGCGATTCACATCCGACAGCAACAATTTAATCCGTTTAATTTGAACTTATAATAATCAGTTTTTATAAAACAAATTTTTTTTCGATAAGTTATGATATACTAAATATTTATTTTAAAAATTTGATGATTATAAACTTTTGTTTTATAAAATAGATTTTCTAAGAAAATAATGTTCATTTTTTTCGGACACCATGGAATTGCGCAGATGTAAAAACAAAACCAATTAACTCATCTAAACTAGGAAACCATGTTAGATTGGAATTCTTAATATATATTCTACTTTCCATTAAGAAAAAAAAAGAATAAAATTTAAAGAATTTTATCTAGTTTTTTTTTTCCTATAGAATATGCAACAAGAAACTGACAATTTTTCCTTTACAAATGCTGAATATGTCTTAAAATAATAGTTCTAATTTGAAACAAACAACATTATTTAAACATTTGACTTACGATATTGGTTTAAAGAAAATTATTTTAATGAATTTTATAAAGAGCACTGTTTGGACAAAATTCAGTATAAAATGGCTCTATATTGAAATGTAAATAAATATAAAAATTTATTGGTTTCTAATCACCTGGAATTATTTTATTTTGCTGAATAAAAATATATTAAACAGTACTTATCCAAGGTTATTTTGGATCATTGCTATTTGGTACATTTTGTGCAAAAACTATTTAACACTTAAAAAAAAATTTTTTTTATTCATTAAAAGCAATATTTTCTGCAAGCTAAACATATTGTTTCCTCCACATCTATTCAAGATGATATATTAAAAAAATAACATTTTAAATGAAATACTACACTATTATATTGACTAATACGCTAAAATTGACACTTTTCTTCTACCTATACTACTCTTAAGCAGGAAAAAAACATGCTAACCTGGAAATTTTAACATTTTTTCTGAAAACCTGGAAAAATCAGGGAATTTTGAAACCTGATTTGAGTGGCCCAGGGCTGCCACAGGCTGCTAAAATGCAACTATTTGCTACTATTTTCGGCCTTAGGCGACTATGGCGACTTTTTTTTGCCTGAAAAGGCTAAAAAAAGCAACTGTTTTCAGGAATAGGCGACTATTAGTAGACTTTTTTTACTCTTGGCGAAGTTTTTCTGCAAAAATGAATGTTACTTTTCAGAACGTTAATAAAAGAAAGCAAACTTTTATAGTACAATCATTTATGCCCAAAGAGCCAAAAATTAAAATTTCCATTGGATTTAATAAAGTACTTGTTATATGTTCTCTTTGAGGGGCAGTTTTGTTATTTTTAATTGTTTGTTCCTTCTATTAACATTTATATTTTATTGTAATTTATGTATACCTTTTATATTTGTACAAAACTTTTTTTTAATTGGAGCTTAGTTAGGATTGGGCGATAAATCGATGTATCATGAAATATCGATTTAACGCATATATCAGTAGGCCGATGTAGTGACTTTCGTTTTAGGCGATGCATCAGAAATCTGATTTAAGCTGCAGGAATTAGATTACAATTGCGGTTTAACGATTTAATATGCAAGGATCCTTGACTAGGCTAATGCTGTTACCGCACTAACGAAGACGATTTTGATTTCGTCTAGCTGCAGAGATGTAGATATCGTTTTGCTATTAAGATGTTAGTTTTCTGATGATGAATGACGAAGAGCGAATTGAATCAGAACTACCGGTTTCGTGCGAGGATCATCGTTGTAATATAAAACGCAATGCATGGTTTCTTTATGTCCATTTTTGTCTTTGGGATTTTGCCTTTTTTGAAGATAATTTTCAATGGGACTTAAGTCATTTTGCGATCGTTGTGCATTTTATTTCGTCGGAAATAATTGTCGGGTTTCTTGTAAATTATTTTCAGTGAGACTTTTGCTGGGATCGTTTTGTTCTGCATTATTTCATACCATTGTTTTTCTGTCTTGGTTTAACGATTCTTGTCAATTATTTTTAGTGCACCTACTGTTACTTTGCGATTGCTGCACAATCGCTGTTATCTTAAATTTTCATTCTGAGCTCAATAGATCAAATCATTGATTTTTTCAATTATTGTTTTTCTATTTTAAGCGATATAATTTAATAGGGGTATTTTGTATTTAACTTTGTTATAAAAAGTTAGTGTTTTTAAATTTATTAAATGTAGTTAAGTATAATAATTTGATTTTTTTTCAACCAATAAATGCTCAATCGCTTTTAATTATAAAAAAATTAAAACAAAGTTTTAAAAAAATTTGGCTATTAGTTAAAGCAATTTTTTTTAATTAAATAAAAAGTTTAGTAATGTTTTGACGTTTTTAATAATTTAACATTAGTACTTAAAGTATTTTTTTTTTAATTTTTATTAAAATTCTTTCAATACTTGTTTGTTTTATAATTTGGTCAATAGTCAGTATCATTTCTAAACAAATAAATCTTTAGTCGATTTTATTTTCAGAAATGAAAATAATAATAAATAAGTAAAAATATTTTTACTTTTATTAAGTACAGAATTTGACCATTAGTTAATACTACTTTTTATTATTTTAAATAAGTAAATCAAAAAGGGTCTAATGTTTCAAAAGCATGTTTTTTTCTTCAACAAATAATAAAAAAAATTTCTAAAGTGAACATTTCTTTGGCTTGTTTTCCACTTTTTTTTTTCTTCTTTTAATTTTTAATGCATGTATGTAAAATAATTTGTTACAGTATTATTATTTTTAAACCAATAAATCTTAAATCATTTTTAATTTAAGAAAAATGAAATAAAGCTGGGGTTTGCTTTTACTTTGACTTCTTTATTAATTTAATTGAAAAAATTAAGCAATGATATTGATGTCATAGTAGAATATGCTTAGAATTAATATTTTCTTTTGTACTAGATTTATTCCTTTTTA